TGCTGGCCTTTGTCTAACTGCCAGAATCTGGGGGAGATGGAGCTTCTCTTGGAAACTTCCCATCAAGCTAATAATTGTCTTCCTAGAGTTAAAAAGGAAAAGAGATAGCCAATGGGAACCCCTAAGACACCCTGGTTACACTAGCAAAATTCTCAGACTCCTTGGAGGATGCTAACCTGTCCCCTACACAATGTGTTACTGGGGTTGAACCTAGGGCCTTGCATGGGCTGCGATAGTGCTCTATCACTGGGTATATCCCTAGTCCTCTTCTTCACTTTTTATTTTAGGACTAGGACATTAGCTTGCTTAGACTGGCCATGAACTCATGATGTAGTCCTTGTGAAATTCTCCTGCCTCAGCCTGCGAACAGACAGCAAAACAGGCCTGCGTGCACAGGCTTGGTAGAATAGCATCTCTTCTTATGAAAACTTGTCTCCAGCCCATGTGTTCAAGCAGTAGGTAGGGTCATGTGCCACACACCAGCACCCTGTTCAGTGATGAGCCATGTGTACTGCTGTGTGTATTACTGCGGCCGCCTGAAATCAAGATCATGACGTCAAAGCATTCCCGCTTACAGTGATGCTGATAACTACAAGCATCCTGAGCTGGACGGGTGACTCAAGCCTGTGATGCCAGCACTGGGAGGCTAAGGCAGGAAAGCAAACAAAATAAAGTTAAACTTCTCGTCCTGTTCCTGGTATAAATAGAAGCAAAAAATAGACAGTTATGGACAGTGGATAACACTTGATGGTAGGTGATTGTTATCCATTCATGGACTTGCTACATCTACTTCATTTCAGAGTCTATTCCATGTGTGTCTATACGGTGAGCATGCATGCATGCCTGTATTTATTTCTTCAAAAACAAAAATCGTGATCTCATATAGTGTAAACTGATTTTGAACTCAGTATGTAGCCAAGGATTACCTTGAAATCCTGATTCTCCTGCTTGACCCCACACTCCCTCCAATGATGGACTAAAATCTTGGGCTAAATTAGTCATTCCTCCCTTAGAAACAAACACCCCCCCCCACCAGGCGGAGGTGATGCAAGCCTTTAATCCCAGCACTCTCCGCACTGCATAGGCAGGAGGATTTCTGTGAGTTTAAGGCCAGCCTGATCTACAGAGCTAGTTCCAGGACAGCCAGGGCCACACAGAAAAACCTTGTCTCAAAATAAATAAATACATACATACATACATACATACACACATACAGAAAAACCCTTCAAAAGAGGCCATGTTGAAGCCAGGCATAGTGGCACACATGTCTGTAATCCCAGAACTTGAGAGATGGGGACAGGAAGGCATTCAAGGTCCCATCCTCAGCTACCAGCAAGTTGTAAGCCACACTGGGCCACAGAAGTCCTTATCTCAGGAAACAAAACAAAACAAAATGCAACCCATGTTGAGCAACTGACTTGTACCATTTTGGCTTGTTTAAGCACATTCAGTGTTCACTAACAAACCTGCCCAGTGAAGTATTACTTCTCAATGAAGAAAGAAATTGTGAGATCCATTTAAGCTTTGAATCCTGGTTACTGGAAATCTACCACCACCAACGTAATAAGCCAATTAAACCAAATTATTAAATACAGGTTTAATCTGAGCAAAGCACTCCTGGGTGCCCTCAGGAGGGTAGGAAAGGCATCAACTTGGCAAATATGGCTACCAGGTCTCAAGTAGCCTATAGAATGGTCTTAAGCAGCTCCAAGGAGGAGGTGCTGACTTTTGCCTTTTTTTTTTTTTTTTTTCGGGGCTGGAGTTTGAAGAGGGCAGCTCCAGAAAATGGGACACCACTCGGTGCACTATTTGGAATGGGAAGAGTGAGACCTGAGTGTGGAATGAGGCCCCCAAGCTGGTGATCCCAAACATGCCAGCCCTTTTGGGTATATATGGACGCAAGTAGGGCTTCCATGTAAACATAAAGTGTGCTTCGAGTTCATCAGCATTAGGGAGAAGCAGAAAGCCCTAAAACTCTCAGCTCTATGGTCATTTCCTTGTCTCAGAATTCAGAGTTGGAAAGTTGCAGGCAGTCTGCTCCTAGACTGAACTCATTTGAACCGAAAAGAGGACCGTCCCAAGTCCCAGAATATTCACTAGATAAGGTTTTGTTTCCTGAATCAATAGGATAAGGAATTTGAGAAGGGAGATGGCTATGCTCGATGGGCTTTAAGATTGTAACTCTCTGTGGGAAAAACAGGGACTTTATTTTTTTTTTCATATTTATTGCATGCATGCATGCATGCATGTATGTATGTATGTACATGTATGTGTGCCTGGTGACCTCAGGGGTCAGAAGATTGATGTTTGTGAGTCACCCAGGTCCTCTGCAAGAGCAGCAAGTGCTCTTAACTGCTGAGCCATCTCTCCAGACCCTCACTCAGCGACTTTAAATACCACTATCCCAAATCAACACCCAGATATCCTTGGCCTTTCTCTGTCCCTTTCTGTGGAGGAAAACACTTATGTTCCACTTTTGTTCACCTCTTGAATTCATTATTATCAGAGTGAGAGGAGGGTCTTGTTAAATGATGCTTGCCTGTACTTCCGGCTGTACTTTACACTTAATTTTTAAGGGGGGGGGGTCCCCTATATTTAAACATTCAAAAAAGGATCCGGAGAGATGGCTCAGGGAAAAAATAGATTATCAACTCAAATGAGTACTCAGTAGCTCTTGACTTTGACCATTTTATTTATCACATAATTTTGACCATATTGGGTTTACTCTTTGTTGTAAGCAGTGTTCTTTGGAAAGCCTGTTTCCATTCCATGTCAGGTTCGGCCTTATCTTTCTAAAATTAGGGCACACACTTTTTATAGATGTGTATTGGTGGGGGACAATTCTGTATTCTGTCAATTACATTTTAAATAAATGCTGATTGGCCAGACAGGAAGCAGAGGCGGGGAAATGAGAACAGGAGTATTCTGGGAAGAAGGAAGCTCCCTCAGCAGTCCTGCCCAGATCAATGAAGAGGCAGGATGTGACCTGCCCAGCTGAAAAAGGTACTGAGCCATGTGGCTATCATAGATAAGGATAATGGGTTAATACAAGTTATAAGAGTTAACAAGAAGCCTGAGCTAATGGGCCAATCAGTTTATAACTTATGGAGATCTCTGTGTGATTTTCTTTGGGACTTGCCAGCTGTGGGAACTGGGCAGGACAGAAACCCCAACAAACCGGCCCATATGTTACAGTGTATTGATGTGGGAGTGTCATATATCAATCTGTTGATTTCATTGGTTAAGTTATAATAAACCAACTGCTTGGCCTCATGGCTTGGAACATAGATGGGAGGAGTAAACAGAATAGAATTCTGGGCGGAAGAGGAAGTGAGGTCAGACTCTGCTCTGCTCCCGGAGAGACTCTGCTCTCCGGATCACAGACGCCATACTCAGCTCTCCCGGGTAGACGCGATAGCTCTGCTCTCTGAGGCACACGCTATGAAGATGGATGTAGGCTAGAATCTTCCCGGTAAGCGCACCTTGGGGTGCTTACACACATTATTAGAAATGGGCTAGTCCAGGTGCGAGAATTAGCCTGTAAGGGCTAGAGTTTATGGGCCAAGCAGTTCTTTAAATGAATACAGTTTGTGTGTTGTTATTTCGGGCGTGAGCTAGCCAAGCAGCTGGGGTGTTGGGGACGCAGCCCCGCCGCCGCTTCTTATTTCAACAGTGTATAGCATGAATAATAAAAACCCAGAAACAGATACTGGGGTTCAACCTGAAAACCAGAAAAGCAAAGCAGCCAAGCCACTAGACAAATCTTACCTCTACCAAGGCTGGGCAACTACAGAATACACCTCTCCCTCTCCTCTCATTTTATATTCCCTCTAGTGTTGGAATTAAAGGCGCATGACTCCCTAGTACTGGGTGTTTGGCTGGAAGCATCACTCCAGTCCCCCGTATCCATATACCCAAAGAGTCTGGAATGTTTGGGTGGAGAGTTCCATCCCAAGCCCCCTCCTCTAGGAGTTGCCTCAGTCCAGACTCCATCCCTGAGAAAGCCCGCCAAATGGTGGCCCCTCCTCAGAGATGCTCAAGATCACCCCCACAGGGTATTTAAACTGCCCCCAGAGAACAAACATGTGGTTTTCCAATCTTCCTTCCCTGTCTCCTCTCTGGGAGCTGGAAAGCCACACAGGAGCGCTGGTATCCATTAAGCCTGGGCCTTTTCTAATTTGGTTTGATTTGGTCTGATCCGGATTGTTGTATAGTTATTGTGTCATTATTGTGTGGTCGGAGAGGGTTATTCAGACATAAAAAGTTTTCACTGGATTAAAGGTATGGGCCAATGAGAACTACTGAGAACCCAAGAACAATGGCAATGGGTTTTTGATCCTACTTCAGGTACTAGGCTTTGTGGGAGCCTAGGCAGTTTGGATGCTCATCTTACTAGACCTGGAAGGAGGTGGGTGGTCCTTGGACTTCCCACAGGGCAGGGAACCCTGATTGCTTTTTGAGCTGATGAGGGAGGGGGACTTGATTGGGGGAAGGGAAGGGAAATGGGAGGCGGTGGCGGGGAAGAGACAGAAATCTTTAATAAATAAATAAATAAATAAATAAATAAATAAATAAAAAAGAAGCAAAAAAAAAAAAAGGTGTTGGCCATCACCACCTGGATTTGTTTCTGCGGTGATCTTGTGTAGCCCAGGGTGACCCTGAACTCAGAGATCCATCTGCCTCTGTCTCCCAAATTCTGGGATTAAAGATGTGTGCTACCACTGCCTGACCTCTAGTGGCTTAGCTTTACCCTTCTGATCTCTAGGCAAGCTTTATTTATTAAAACATAAATATCACTATGGATCTGGAGCTCTCCACTGTCAGTGCACTGAAACCTGTCACCAAGTCCTCCTTCACTGCTGCCTTTTTTCCTTTTTTTCTCCTTCTGAGTCTGGCCTAGAACTTGGTAAGTAGCTGGGCCCCCCCCCCCCCCCCCCCCCCCGCTTCCCACCCCATACCCAATGTGTGCAGTGACCCAGCCCCAGGATGCTAAGCAATCACTTTACCAACCAAGCCACATTCCCAGTGCTGCGACCTCTCTTCTCATCTGTGGGACGGGTCACCGGGATAGAACATTCACGAGATAGGCAGAAAAATCAGGGAAGCTTTCACTTTCACTTCTTGTGGGTACCTGGGAGCCCTGGATCAAGGGAAGAGCTGAATGGAACAACATTGTAGCCTTTATCACCAGACAGGAAAACCAAGTCCTCACAGACCCAGGCCAGGGAAGCAGGAGCTGGTGCATCCCGCTGGCTATCACATCAGTGGCTGAGAGGGGAAACCCTTGGTTGGTTTCCATGCAGGAATAAAGCAGAGCTGTGTTACTAAGAATCAACTGTGTTACTAAGAATCAACTGTGTTACTAAGAATCAACTGCCTGCTCCAGGCCAGGCCTGGAACAGTCCATGCTTTGGCAATGTGTACAGCAGCCCACAGCTCTTCTCTATAGGCTGCCTCGTCCTGGCCTGGCAATGAGAGTGAGGCTAGAAGCAGTCCCAGACCCAGATCGTTTCTGGTGGGTAAGTGGCTCTTTTCTAAGCTGAATAACTACGTCACTATGGGTGAAAGGGTCCCATGCATAACATTAAGAACGCAGTCCCCTCCTTCCCTACTATATAGTCAGTGTCAGTGTGGGGGGGGGGGGAATACGGGCACCAAATGAAAACCTACAAACCTACTTCCTTCGAGGTTTGTCATAAATTAAAAGGAACAACAACAAAAAAGCCTCCTCAAACCCCTCATTAGTCCCTGGGGCCCCTTCTGAACTGGGTACATAATTTTCAGGACTGATAAGAACATGCCTGGTGGGGCTCAGTGGCCTTCCTTGGGAACACCACTGGCAGGGCTAGCCACAGGCACACTATCTGCTGGGGAAAGTGGTCCCCGGTGAGGCCCAGCTCTGTGCCGAAGGGCATGCTGATAAAACAATCACCAGAAATGCAGGAGCTGCAGGGAGGGCTCTACCCATTTCTCATTTGGTTTTCAATGCAGTCGAACGGCAGGATTTGTCCAGGCTTGCTAATTGCAGCAAGGTCATTGTACAAAATTATAGAATTTTCAGGGCCATTTTCTTTGAAAAGGAGAATTAGCATAAAAAAGGGATACCCCTGGAATGTGCCATTAAAACCGTAGTCACGAAATTTTGGTCTCTGATTCTCAGACAAAAATCAGTTAAGACGTGACAAATGAGTCAGACAGACGCCCAGACAAAGGTGCAGCTGTCCCTGGGGTTCAGGGACACAAGAGTAAGAAATGTCTCCTGATCAGCACAGCGCCCTACCGAGTCATTCTTCACAAAGGGTGGCAACTGAATCACAGTGTTTCCAAGGAAGTAACTCCTTCCCCGTGGAGACGATGCTTATGTTAATGAAATACCTAGAGGGGAACACTTAGGCAAATCCAGTCTTTTAAGTGTTGGAAATTCTTTTCAAGGTTCTGTGTTTTTAACCTCCAAACGCTGAAGGATTTTACTGTTCACTTCTGAGTACCTGTGAGAACTATTTGTGAAACAGTAGCTTCTGGGCTTGGGTTTTCTCCTTTTGGAATTTTAAAAAAAAAATCAAGAATCATAAGGACAAGATGCTATTACAGTACGCTAAATACCTGACGTTCTGAAAACTTAGAAATCTTATTTATTTTTTTCCCATTACAGGGTTTCACTGTGTTGTCCTGGCTGTCCTTGAACTCAGAAATCTGCCTGCCTCTGCTTCCCAGAGCTGGGATTAAAGGCATGTGTTACCACCACCTAGCTAAAATCTAGAAATGAGTCAAAAAAAAAAAAACCTATTTGTTATGTCCTACTTTTTCCATTTATTTGCTCTTAGTGCAATAAAAACATTAACAGTAAATGTTCTATTATAGCACTTGTAAGCCACTGGCAATGGTTAAAAATATATGTTGGGGGTGGGGTACAGGAAATATAGACCAATCTTTGAACTTCCTGGTTTCCCTACCACTCAAAGCACAGAGAAAAACAGGATTCCTCTAACTGACTGCTGCTTCCTTCCTCCACAGGCCACAGGGCTTCCCACAGCAATCCTATCAGGAAACTCCCAGCCTCAGCTTGGAGACCCGATGAAGTACCCATTTCCTCCAGCAAGAGCCACATAAGAGCTACAAACCTGCAGTGTAACACACAGGCCAAGAGCTCAGACGGCCTTTCTGGTGTTGAATTGGTATGGTATGGTGCTCAATTAAGGGCACACTCTTAGAGTCAAATGCCCACTTGAATCCCAAGTGCTAGGTGAGCATGAGCAAGTTCTCGGCCTCTTTGAACTTCAGCTTCCTTCTGCACAGTGGTTAGTGACAGACTCGAGAACAGGGCACTCCCACAGCTGTGTCCTGAGTCCTGTGTCATGGATTTCCACACAGTAAGTGAAGCAAAGACATCTGCAGCCGGGCAATGTCAAGTGGGATTCCTCCTCTGATGTGAATGCAATGACATTCAAATTTCTCTTTTGTAAGAAGCCAGCTTTACAGATTTGCTAAAACTCAAACTGCAAGGAAACATTGCATCTGCAATGGTGGAGTTATACTACTCAATGGAAAAAGAGGGATGAAGGGTCCTCCCAGCTCAAGGACGCCCACTCCCCAGTACCTCAGGTAAAGCTGAAATGACTGCCCCATAAATCTGAAATAGGTTCAGAGCACAGAGTGCAAAATTGGAGCTGCAGGACATCAGAGAGCTTTCTAGAACGGGTGGCCCTGGACTGGTAACTTAACAGGTGAGGGGGGGGAGGGGAGGTGGGCGCATGTATATATTAGAAGGAACCAGAGGGGAGGTGGGCGCATGTATATGTTAGAAGAAACCAGAAAACCTGGGAAGAGGAAATAGCAGCAAATATAAAGAGCCTGGAGTGAAAGAGCCCTGAATAGGTTGGGAGCTGGTGAGTTTGAAGGACCTTGCTTATCAAGGACTCTCTTGCCTTGGGCAAGCAATTTCGGAAGGAGAGACTGGAGAACGCAGGTAGCCAGCCCCAACATTGTAATACTGTAACAACTTCCTTATTCTTAAGTCCTTCAATGCCCCAAAGGGTCACAGCCAGCTTTTTACCCTGGCAGATCCCTCAGTTTCTGAAAGTCTCCCTGACTGTGCTCCCCCTCCCCACCATGTATGCTAATAATAAGCATCCTCCTGTCTGTCTTTTTCAGCCACCTCAGAAATCTAACAAGCATTTGAGAAAAAAACAATAGGTATAGAGATGGAGGTGGGGTTAAGGAATAAAACTACAAAGTAGACTAGAAAGTAAAAAGCCTGAATTCCACATACCAAGTTCCTGTAGATTGTAGAACACAACATTATTTATTTACTTATTTGTTTTTGAGACAGGGTTTCTCTGGGTAATCTGACTGTCCTAGAACTCTAATCTGCTCGCCTCTGCTCCCAAGTGTTGGCATTAAAGGCATGTGTCACCATGCCCTGCACAGAAATACAACACATTTTAAATAAGAAAATATTATGACAATGTTTAATAACTAGATAATCCTAGATGGCCTAGAAACCAGATGGGCTGGCAAGGAGGGAGGAGGTGGGAACTTTTCCAAGAAGAAATACAGGTTAATTACCCCGTATTTGAGTGTCTGAGGCTGGGAAGGCTTTTGCATCCTGGTATTTGTATAGATTTTATCAGCTTAGCCTTTCTAATGTCAAACCTAGAACCTAAAAGTGCTCTGAAATCCAAAACTTTTTAGAATCTTATATTTACTTGTGTGTGGGTGCAGATGCACACTGTGCATGCCATGCCCAAGGCAGACGCTGAGCCTTCCCCTTGATTGCTCTCCACCATACATACTGAGTCAGTGGCTCACATGATCCCAGACCTTGCAGATTCAGCTTGTCTAGTTAGCCAGTCTGCTCAACCTTGCCTGCTACGTATGGGGATCATAAGCGGGCTGCCACACGCTCACCTAGCATTACCAATTACATGGGTTCCGGAGATGTGAGCTCTGGTCCTCAGGCCCTGATGGTATACTGTTTGCCTGCTGAGCCATCTCCCCAGCCCATCCTATCTCATCCTCTGGGTCATGTCAGAGAATACGAAGCTCCTGAACCGTAGAATTTGGGATCTGGATTTTAGATTGAGATGCTCACTCAAACTATGTTTCAAAGTAAATGTATTCAGTCCCTGAAATGAGCAGTTTCTACTATTTTAAAGACATACATAAATATGAGAGGCTTTTCATCTTCTGAAAGATGGCATCCCCTTCCATCTGGGACTTGTCAATGTCTCATTCTACACTGTTCTACTTAAATAACAGCAATGCGCTTATTGGAAGAAATTCTGCTTGAAATAACTTAGAATAGGTACAGTTTTGATTAGAAAAAAAATCCCATTGGAGAAGACATTGATAAGGAGGCAAATGGTGATGCTGCCATCATAATTCACATTTTGGAAGCACACGCTACTCGCAGACTCTGATGTTGAAAAGTTACTGTCTATTAATTATATTAGTTTAGTTTCTCTTCACTAGCTTTTTTTTTTTTTTTTTTTTGATTTTTCGAGACAGGGTTTCTCTGTAGCTTTTGGTTCCTGTCCTCACAGAGATCTGCCTGCCTCTGCCTCCCGAGTGCTGGGATTAAAGGCGTGCGCCACCACCGCCCTCTTCACTAGCTTTTTTGAGACTGGGTTTGATAGTCTAGCTGGCCTCAGACTCCCTTTGTAGTTGAGGATGACCTTGAACTCTGATCCTTCTGCCTCTACCTACTATGATTAAGAGCACTCACTACCAGGCTGAGCTAAAGATGACTTTAGAAGGTGGTACTGTGTTAGGTGTGGTGGGTCTTGAATGCATACTCAAAGCACTGGGGAGGCTGAGGCAATGGGATTGCTCAAAACCAAAATGGGTGAGTTCAAAACCAGCTACAGTAAGTTCCAGTCTAGTTTGAGTTACAGTGAGATTCTGTCTTAGTACAGACAGACAATGATAGATCGTGCTGGTTAAAAATGCAGTATCTGAATTTAATCACAAGGGACATCAAAGCAACCTAAACTGACAGACACTGTACAAAATAACTGGGTAGCACAAAAGACAAAGACAGACTGAGGAACAATCCTTGATTATAGCAGACCGAGGAGCCACGGCTGCCAACTGCTTCCCGATCCTGAATATTATCCAGCATTCTTTCCTTCCTTCCTCTTCAGACAGGGAGGGTCTCTGGCTGGCCTGGAACTGGCTATGAAGACCAGTCTGGCTTTTAACTCACAGAGTCCTGCCCTGTCACTGCCGCTGTGCCAGCATTAAACACATGTCTGTGACACCATGTCGGGCTTAATCGACGGTTGCAAATTTTTTTACTACTTCCAAAGCATTTAGCAGGGTCAGCTTCTTAACTCAGCCACACACATAAAAATACTGCGCCGCTGGTTTGGTTTTTGGTCAACGTTGACACAGCTACAGTTATCTGAGAAGAGGGAACAATTGAGAAAATGCCACCGTATAACCAACCTGTAGGAAAGTTTGTAAGGGCATTTTCTTATTGTCTGATATGGAAGGGTCCAGCCACTGTGACTGGTACCACCCCAGGGCAGGTAGTCCTGTAGTGTATAAGAAAGCAAGCTGAGCAAGCCATGGGGAACAAGCCAGTTCCTGCCTTCTTGATGTCGTGCCCTGACTTCCCTAGGTTGAGAGTGACCTGAAAGGTGTAAACTGAAATAAATCCTTTCTTCCATACGCTGCTTTTGGTATTGCTTTTTGTTTTTTGTTTGTAAATCACATCAGTGACAGAAACTGGTACAAGGTTCATGGGGTACTGCCTGGACAGACCAGACCATGTATGGGGGAGAACCGTGGAAGAACCTCAGAGCACTGGCCTGGAAAAGCCACTGAGCCTTCCTTCATGGCTTTGTGAGCTGGGAAGACAAGGATACTGAGAGAAATGTAAACGATAGAGGCCTGGTTTGTGAAGTTTCAGAAGGTCTGAAAGTTCTTGAGATTCTTATCAGGGCCATTTGATATTAAATTAATCATCTGTGGTTCTAGTCAGCAGGGGCAGAAGAATCGCTGTGACTAACAGACCAGAACCACTAATGTGAACTTTGCTTTGTAGGCTAATCGAGACTGTTCGGCTGGTGCTGAAGAATTGGATGGGGTTCTAAGAGACCAGTATCACCGAGGGGGAACCTTTGGGTAGTGTTTTCCCGGGTCAGCACTCAGAATGTGAGGTCCAGAGGGGGCCCTGACTGTTCCTGCATTAGCAGCTGAGTATGTAATGTGAACAGAGTTTCCCAGGTAGTGCTGGCTTTAAAGGCATGAAGGAGCCATGGGGAGAAGGTAAGGCTTGGCTTCAGGTGGAAGGATCAGAGCTCCTGAGAAGAACCCAGGAGAGGTGATCAGTGAAGGTACAGCCCAGCTGCAAGAGAGACTCAGAATCTGAGATGCCAGTACCATGGACCGGATCACCAACGACAGCAGATCGCGAAGAGGAGCCACAGCTGTGGAGTAGCATCAGCTCGGGCCGTGCAGACAAGCTGTGTGCTGCAGAAGATGGAGCTGGAGGTGACTCAGGCCCTTCGCAGCCCAGAGAACAGGGAGTGGGTCCAAGGTATCAGATGCTGTAGTTTTTATCTATTGGACTTTGGTCTTTCTTTGATTTGGTTGTGACTGTGACCTGGTTCTTCATTCTTGGATTAAGAAGGTATTTAAGTCTATCTTTTTTCTTTTGTTTTGTCTTATAAGAACCCACAGTTGAGACGTTGTATATTTTATTTATATTTCTTAATGATTTTATGAGTACCTGTTTTGTCTGCATGTCTATCTATGCATCCTGTATAGGCCATGTGCCCACTTGGTGCCTGAGAAGGCAGGAGGGAGTCAGATCCCCTGTAATTGGAGTTACAGATGGTTGTGAACCACCACGTGGGCTCTGATTACCAAACCTGGGTCATCTGTAAGGATGGCCTTTAACTCCTGTCCTCCAGCCTCCACCTCCCAAGCACTGGGACTACAAACCTGTGCTGCCCTACCATCCATCCCCCCCACCTCACAGACTTTGTTTACATCATTGGTTCTCAATCTGTGGGTCATGACCCACTGGCAGTTGAATGACTCTTTCATGAGGTCACCTAAGACCACTGGAAAATACAGATATTTACTTGTTATTCATAACAGTAGCAAAATTACATTTACGAAGTAGCAGCTAAATAATTTTATGGTTGGGGGTCCCCACAGCTTGAGGAACTGAGTTAAAGGTCTCAGTGTTAGGAAGGATGAGAACCACTGCTTCAGATGACGGAAGAACTGGCACAGCCATATCTGATGGGAGTGACAGAAGTCATAAAGCCAGCATGGCTGTTTGACAAAGATCCAGCAAAGCGGAGCCACATGATGGCCGCCATACCGCCACTGGTTTTCATCTCCACTTGTTGCATACTTGGGAGACTTTGAATATTTGTACAATTTGAAAAGATTGGATTGATAGAAATTTTCTTATGAATCGTTTTTGCCTTCTCCCAGGAATGCTGTTTCTAAGCTTCCCCAGGATAGGACAGTCCTGGGCATACTATTTCCCTCGCTTTAGGGAGCTCTCCTTATCTACTTGAAGTTCTTCCTTATGCATTGGAGGTTGTGACACACTTAAAGAAGAGGTCACTTTATGAGGCTATGAGATGTTTTTAAAACATCTGTCCTTGTAGTTACTTGGGAACAAGATAATCAAAACAAAATAAATTTTAAAAGGTCAACAAGATTCTTTGGGCTAGAGGAGTTGACCACAGTTTAGATTTCAAGTCTCTTCCCACTACACTCAACTATGTGGTATATACAGCAACAAAGTTAGATTAGCTTATAAGTCTCAGTATAAGTCTCTGTGTAGGACAAGAATCCAGTCAGGCAGTGATGGCACACGCCTTTAAACCCATCACTCGGGAGGCAGAAGCAGAGAATCCCCGTGACTTGGAGGTCAATCTAGTCAGTCTACAAAGTGAATTCCAGGACAGCCAGAGCTGCTACATGGAGAAACCCTATCTCCAAAAGAAGAGGAAGAGGAGGAGGAGGAGGAGGAGGAGGAGGAGGAGGAGGAGGAGGAGGAGGAGGAGGAGGAGGAGGAGGAGAAGAAGAAGAAGAAGGAGAGG